TCCTTTGCTGTGCAGAAGCTTTTAAGTTTCATTAGGTCCCATTTGTTTATTTTTGTTTTTATTTCCATTTCTCTAGGACGTGGGTCAAAAAGGATCTTGCTGTGATTTATGTCATAGAGTGTTCTGCCTATGTTTTCCTCTAAGAGTTTTATAGTGTCTGGCCTTACATTTAGGTCTTTAATCCACTTTGAGTTTTTTGTTGTGTACAGTGTTAGGGAGTGTTCTAATTTCATTCTTTTACATGTAGCTGTCCAGTTTTCCCAGCACCACTTATTGAAGACGCTGTCTTTTCTCCATTGTATATTCTTGCCTCCTTTATCAAAGATAAGATGACCATATGTGTGTGGGTTTATCTCTGGGCTTTCTATCCTGTTCCACTGATTTTTATTTCTGTTTTTGTGCCAGTACCAACCATACTGTCTTGATTGTGTTTTCATTTTCATTTGTTTCTAGGTATTTTTGATTTCCTCTTTGAGTTCTTCAGTAATCTCTTGGTTATTTAGTAGCGTATTGTTTAGCCTCCATGTGCTTGTATTTTTTACGGTTTTATTTTCCTGTAATTGATATCTAGTCTCATAGTGCTGTGGTCAGAAAAGATACTTGATACAATTTCAATTTTCTTAAATTTACCAAGGCTTGATTTGTGACACAAGATATGATCTATCCTGGAGAATGTTCCATGAGCACTTGAGAAGAAAGTGTATTCTGTTGTTTTGGGATTAAATGTCTTATAAATATCAATTAAGTCCATCTTCTTTAATGTGTCATTTAAAGCTTGTGTTTCCTTATATATTTTCATTTTGGAAGATCATTGGTGAAAGTGAGGTGTTAACGTCCCCTACTGTGATTGTGTTACTGTTGATTTCCCCTTTTATGGCTGTTAGCATTTGCCTTATGTATTGAGGTGCTCCTATGTTGGATGCATAAATATTTACAATTGTTATATCTTCATCTTGCACTGATCCCTTTATCATTATGTAGTGTCCTTCTTCATCTCTTGTAATAATCTTTATTTTAAAGTCTATTTTGTCTGATATGAGAATTGCTACTCCTGCTTTCTTCTGATTTCCATTTGCATGGAACATCTTTTTCCATCCCCTCATTTTCAGTCTGTTTGTGTCCCTAGGTCTGAAGTGGGTCTCTTGTGGACAGCATATATATGGTTCTTGTTTCTGTATCCATTCAACCAGTCTATGTCTTTTGATTGGAGCATTTAATTCATTTACTTTTAAAGTAATTATTGACATGTATGTTCCTTTTTCTTCTATTGTGTTTGTTGCCTAGAGAAGTTCCTTTAGCATTTGTTGTAAAGCTCGTTTGGTGGTGCTGAATTCTCTTAACTTGTGCTGTCTGTAAAGGTTTTAATTTCTCCATGGAATCTGAGTGAGATCCTTGCTGGGTAGAGTAATCTTGGTTGTAGGTTTTTCTCCTTCATCACTTTAAATATGTCCTGCCACTCCCTTATGGCTTGCAGAGTTTCTGCTGAAAGAACAGCTGTTAACCTTATGGGGATCCCCTTGTATGTTATTTGTTGCTTTTCCCTTGCTGCTTTTAATATTTTTCTTTGTATTTAATTTTTGATAGTTTGATTAATATGTGTCGTGGCATGTTTCTCCTTGGATTTATCCTGTATGGGACTCTCTGTGCTTCCTGGACTTGATTGACTATTTCCTTTCTCATGTTAGGGAAGGGAAGTTTTCAACTATAATCTCTTCAAATATTTTCTCAGACCCTTTCTTTTTCTCTTCTTCTTCTGGGACCCCTAACTTTGAATGTTGGTGTGCTTAATGTTGTCCCAGAGGTCTCTGAGACTGTCCTCAATTCTTTCCATGCTTTTTTCTTTATTCTGCTCTGTGATAGTTATTTCCACTATGTTATCTTCCAGGTCACTTATCCATGCTTCTGCCTCAGTTATTCTGCTATTGATTCCTTCTAGAGAAATTTTAATTTCAGTTATTGTGTTGTTCATCATTGTTTGTTTGCACTTTAATTCTTCTATGTCCTCGTTAAACGTTTCTTGTATTTCCTCCATTCTATTTCCAAGATTTTGGATCATCTTTACTATCATTACTCTGAATTCTTTTTCAGGTAGACTATTTCCTCTTCATTTGTTTGGTCTGGTGGGTTTTTACTTTGCTCCTTCATCTGCTGCATATTTCTCTGTCTTCTCATTTTGTTTAACTTACTGTGTTTGGGGTCTCTTTTTCGCAGGCTGCAGGTTCATAGTTCCCATTGTTTTTGGCGTCTGCCCCCAGTGCATGAGGCTGGTTCACTGGCTTGTGTAGGCTTCCTGGTGGAGGGGACTGGTGCCTGTGTTCTGGTGGGTGGAGCTGGATCTTGTCTTTCTGGTGGGCAGGGCTGCATCCGGTGGTGTGTTTTGGGGTGTCTGAGAACTTAGTATGATTTTAGGCATTCTCTCTGCTAATGGGTGGGGTTGTGTTCCTGTCTTGCTAGTTGATTGGCATGGGGCATCTAGCACTGGAGATTGCTGGCCGTTGGGTGGAACTGGGTCTTAGCATTGAGATGGAGGTCTCTGGGAGAGCTCTCGCTGATTGACATTACGTGGGGCCAGGAGGACTCTGGAGATCCAGAGTCCTGAACTTGGCTCTGCCACCTCAGAGGCTGAGGCCTGACACCCAGCCAGAGCACCACGACCCTGTCAGCCACAGAGCAGTGAGTGTGGCAGTCTCCATTATGAAGTCAGATTATGAGGGTCTACAATAGCCATTCAGCTAGAACAGGCTGACTTGGTAGCAATTTGTCTACGAGGTTGTCTCCAGCAGCCGGTGGCTAAAAGAGTAGGTCTCCGCATGTGCTGCCAGAATGTTAAACGTTTGTACAGCAGTCTTCACTGGGTTCAGCCATGGATTCTGTACAGATCGTCTCAAGAACACCTTACCCTTGTAAGGCTGTGTGCTTGAAACAGCTCCTAAGCCTGAGGGTCTACAAGCTGCAGGAAGACGAGACCACCCGGGGCAGCCTGCAAGCCATGATTCTTGCCACGAACCCTGCTGCTGCCATCGTGGAATCCAGCTTCCCCCGCTGTTGCTGGAAGAAGGCAGGAAAGGCTGCCCCAAGATGGCAGATATGTTGGCACCATGCCTGATTTCACTTTTTACATTTAAAACTTTGACTCATTAGATATTTATCCTTGTAAGGTGTGAAATACAATTTTATTCTTGTCTCAGATTTATCTCCTATATCTTTCCCCATCTTGCTCACTGTGCTCCAGCCACTCTGACCTTTTGGCCAATTCACCAAGTTCACTCCCTACACAGTCTTTTTGCAGTTGCTTTTTTTTTTTTGTGATATTCTGCCTTTGGATCTTCCCAAGACATTCTAGTCTTAAACGTGTCTTCCTCAGAGAGGAATAACATAAAAAGTACTATCATGACATTGAACTGTCTTGAAATCTACCTATTTATGTTAATTCTGTTTGTCTCTGCTATTGTCAATTATGTTTTTCCTATTGCTTAACTCCACAAGGCAGCCATTTTAAGCTTATTGCTAAATTCATTTTGGGTAAAATGGGAGACAGGGATTTGGGGACAATCCTGCTGCTCTGCCTCTAGGATAGAACATTAATGGAAAGGCATTAAAGGATCAGATTGATTTGCTCTTTTTCTATAAATACACTTCTCCATAGGTGCAAGATTACCACACCCTGGATTGAACATTAATCTTCAACATGAGATTTGAGAGTTTGTGAAATTATCAGAATTGAAGATGTTTTAGATACTAATTATTCATAAAAAGGTATGAGTAGCTTGATCTCACAGGATATTTTATATATAACAAAAACTGAATGATCTTACAGCATTACAGTTAGATAGCACGAATATCTTACACATTTTAGGTAATCTAGTATTTTAGACAAAGATATTCTGACTTTGCATTGAACAAGAATTGACTTTGACCTATTCCCAGCCTCTTCGAAGGCCCTCACTCCTCCAAAAAAGTATTTAGGATTTTCGTATGAGCAATTGAGAACTGGGAGGGAACATCATACCATCGATTCCAACACCATCTTTATACAAATAGGGAAAGCAATAGGAGGGCAAAAAACCGGAACCCATTCAGAATTCATCTATGACATCACACTGACTCAAAGAGTCATCAGTAGGTGTTAACATTGTTAATCCGGTTAATTGAATTAACAGAAGGTGTGGAAGGCGAGCCCTTAGATTTGTTTTCCATTAAATGGATTAAAATGGATGGTAATCCTCATTCTTTTAAAGGTGAATTTCAATTAGTTTATTACAGGTGTGACTATGAGGCCTTCCCAATTAAGGCTCCTCTCCTACCGGAAATGGGTCATTTAGCATTCCACTTTCAAGAGAGTACGTCCCATAAAATACCATCAAACTCTGTTGAGAAGAGTCTTTTTTAAAACATTAAACAGTTTAGACTTTATGAACGAGCCCATGTTCATTTGCGTGTTCAATTTCCCAACTGCAAAACGTTACTGAGCATTTTACGACCGTGTCACACAATCCTCCCTGCAGCCGGGCGAGAAATACAGGAGTCGGTTTAGGAACGGGAGGCCTGTGGGAGTCAACGTCGCGCTTTGCGCAGGGAAGCCGCAGGGCGAGTCCGGCTGGAGTTAGCCATTTCCTTTCTTCCCCCGATACTTCAGGCTGCGGGGGTGCTGGCCGGGCATACACCGAGGCTGGTCCCTGCGTCCCTCTACCCTTTCCCCGCATCCGCCTTGACTAACCAGCTGACAACCCCAACTCTCTGAAAGCGAGAGCGGGAGGCGACCGGCGCCATAGCCAGATCCGTCCCAGGCACATCTCCGACGCTCGCCTTTGGGCGAGCCCCAAACGCGCCTCTGGTTTCCAGGTGCGAATAGGAAGCTTCTCCGGAAACCCCAGACCCCTCCCCCTTAGGAAGGGCGCAGACGGCGTCTCTGTTTCCAAGGAAACCGGTCTTGCCATGACGTCACTTCCGCTGACCTGTCTGGACTCCAGGCTGTTGGGAGGAAAAGAGGAAAACTGAGCCACAGCCACGACGGTGGATGTGAGCGTCTCCTGTCTGCGCATGCGCCCGCTCAGCGGCCTGCTTCTATTTATGTGGGGGATCCAACATGGCGGCCGCAACGATCCTGGCGATGGCGGTGGAGCCCATCAGAACATAGTGGCGGGGAAGGGGGGACAGTCCGCACTCACGGTGGCGTCGGCGGCGACAGCTGAGGGTGGTGGAGGGAAGAAAAGCGACGGAGAGCAAAAGGAAGGGCAGGCAGGCAAACAACTCGGCGTAGAACCGAGCGCCGGCTCGAGCGAAGGCAGAGGGCCAGAACAGTGGGGATGGCGGAGCCACGCAGAGTAGCGTTTATTAGCCTGTCACCGGTGAGGCGGCGCGAGGCCGAGTTCCCGGGGGCCGAACGCGAGCCCGACTACCCTCGCGAGCCCCCCCGACTGGAGCCGCAGCCGTACCGCGAGCCGGCCCGGGCGGAGCAGTCGGCCCCGCGGGAGGTTGCCCCCCGGTCGGACGCGCAGCCCCCGCCGCGGGAGAAGGCGCTCCCCCAGCGCGAGGTCAGCCGCGCCGAGCCGCCCATGTCGCTGCAGCGCGAGCCCCCTAGGCCCGAGCCGCCGCCGCCGCCGCCGCTCCCGCAGTTGCACTTGCAGCCGCCTCCGCCGCGGGAGTCGGCTTCCCGGGCCGAGCCGCAGCAGAGGCCGTCGAAGGAGACAGTGCGCCTGGAGCTGGTGCTCAAGGATCCCACCGACGAGAGCTGCGTGGAGTTCAGCTACCCGGAGCTGTTGCTGTGCGGAGAACAACGGGTACAGAAGATCCCTCCCTCATCCCCCAGACCCCGGGAGCCTCAGGACCCGTCCGCCTCCCCCAGTGGTTTGTCCCTCCCGAAGCCCACCTTGCGTGTCTCGGATTGCCCCAGAGGGTGGCTGGAGGGGGCAGGGGCCGAGCGGGTGGACGGGCGGTTGGTGCTGCTTTCCTCTGGTCCCCAGTATTGGCCGAGGCTCCCACCCGGCTCCACCAACCCCCCCCTCGCCACCGCCATCGTACGCCCGCTCCAAACGCTGTTCCAAGCCGGCTTCCCTCTGCACCTTTCGAAACCTCAGGTTTCCTCTCGGCTTCCCACAAAAAATCTGGGGGCCCTGCACGTTGCGTTGTTGGGTTTTGCTTGCGGAGCTCCAGTTGGGGGACACGCCCCCCAGTCTGAAGCAGAGAGATTGTGTAACCTCTCCAGTATCATCCTTACCTTCATCGCTGTTGTGCTGGGCGCTGAGATGTGCTTCTGAGCGTGGGGTTATTTATCTTAATTGAAAGGGGATTTAAAAGTAATCTAAACATTTTCAGAGTAAGGATTCCACTTTAGGATTGGAGGTTACGTGGGTTAGTTATCTGGCTCCTTATTTTTCGCTCTCGTGTTGATATTGGTAAACCTTTTTAGCTTTGTTTTCTCTAGTGTTCATACAATAATTGAATGGGAGGGTGTCTCGTTGTATTTGGTGCCTACCATCATATCCTTGTTTGAGTACATATCATTAGTTTATTGGTCCTACTTGGAGGATATTGCACTTGGCCATTGTAATTTTTGGAGAATGATAAAAAAAACTTAGCTTTGAATTTCTAAAAACTTTATTGAAAATATATAGGTATGCCTTTGGTGGAACTGGTGAACAATGGAGATAGGAGAGAGGTTCGTTGGTAACTAATTTTTATTGTTGGTTGGTGATGTTCAGAAGTAAACTAGAAAGGGAAATGGTAGAGTAACAATAATAAGAGAACAGTTTCCTCTATTGTTTAGAGACTATGCTCTTTATTAGGTTTTGCTTTAGCACAGGTCTAATGGACTCCAGAAGTCACTTGTTTTATTTTCATCCTCAATTATCTTTATAGTTGAAATGAATACCTTAGTTTAAAAATATCATACTAAACAACGTCACTAGATTTTGTTTATTGTAAGGCCAACTAATCTTTTGATCATTATTTACAAATACTGCTGTGTGGTCAAACCAAAGTGAATTGTTAAGGATAGAGATCATTTTGGTCATTTCCACATAACATTTTGCGCTTTAGATTCACTTTAGTGCCCCTGTCATTTATAAAGTGATGCCATTTTTTTCCCCAAAAGATTTTTGCGAATACTGGATTGAAGCATTTTTCAAAAAACTGTACTATGTTTGCTCTTCTAATCTATGTAGACTTGCAGTTTTACTTCCTAATCTACATCATAAGTTACAGGTGATTATATTTGGGAAAAATGCATAGTAATGGCTAACATTTACTGATTTCTTACAATGTGCTAGACACAGTTCTAAGTGTGGTACATGGCTTGTGGAATTTAGTCCAGCAGAGCTCCATGAGACAGACACATTTATCCACATTTTGCAAATAAGGAGGCTGGTGTACAAAGTGCTCATATGTATCTTATTAATACTTTTTTCCATGCTAGTACCAATTCTTAGTAACACAGAATTCTTACAATTAACTCATATAGTTTAAATTTAGAAAGTCCTGCCGAAATTAACTGAAATAAGAGTTATAGTAGATATACAAAGACCTCTGTTATGACCCTCTTTATGCTGTAATATTGGTACTATGATAAACTAATAATAGATATGTATCTTTTAATTATAAGTATAAAGTTAATTTTGATACCCTATCGTATTAACTTGATAATATCAGAATTAATAGTTTCATGTAATAGAAAGGTGAATAATTCAGTTTAATTTTTCTGTTTACACTATCAATTGGGGGTATTTTAGTCCAGATTTCTTGTACATTCAGCCATATATCATTTGTCATATTCCACTGAACCAAAAAATCCATTGCTTATACAGTGTACCTTTGCAACAAAGATTTGCCAGATTTTCCTGTGATTACTCCCAGTGAACATATTTATTGCATAAGAAAGTGTAGAAAACACCTTTCTAAATGAAGTTGTCACATTTCCATGAAAGGAAATCCTAGGAAGAGAAACCATCAAAAAGCAAAATGTAAGCAATAGAATTGATCTGCAAAGTGGTGATTCCCAAATTTGCCCTCAGGAGAAGTCCAGTTTATTTTTAGTGATGTTGTAATATTTTCAAAATAGTTTTAATTTTAAGTTATTGTAATTGAACGACATACTATGTAGCAGGGTTAGAGTAGAAAGGGGAGGAAAAGAGATCTTGTAAAATTAAAAGAAGAAAAGTTTCTAAGATTTTGAAATAGCCATCTATCACCCAGTAAGATTTTACTTGATAGGTGTAAGTATAAAATAATCTGTTACATGTGAATACCATCTGTACTAGGGTGAATTTAAATCATCCCCCTTTGTAAATACGAAATGAACAGTAAAACCCCAATTAACCTAATGCAGTTAGAAATTTTTCTAAACTTACTTCTTATTAATACGGAAAAACACGATTAAATGAGTGTGTGTTGGCAAAATATGGAAAACAAAACCTCGTCTAGGTTGTCAGGACACAGGTTAGCTAAACCCTTAACCTTGTTATCTGTAGAGTATTGATCCTTGATTGAGGCTGAGACATTGCAATCATCTCTATCCTGAAAGATTAATTTGTTCACCATTTCTGGCTAAGGGGAATTGATACACAAGAAATTCTTTTTTAACTCGTAGTAAACCAGAAAATCACTTAACCAGAAAACATCTTCCTATAAACATGATTAATTGAACATTCAGTATAAAAAGAAAATAAATGATTATAGTGTTAATGTGATTATATTGTTACCAGAGAATTCTGTGATATTCCATTGCTTGTCATACTGCATGTTTCGGATAACATATACGAAAGCTCTCCTGAAAATGATGTTAATGAGTTAACATCAAGAGACAGAATCATTGGGTCACTTTTGCCTGTGGGTGGTTGGTAATTTTGATATTTACTAATTGTCAGATCTTTTCACCTGAAAAACGTAAAGCTTACTTAGAGCCTTGATTGTGGATAAGCGTTACTTCTTAACTGTGAAAGAAAGGTGACGCAGTTTTCTTAAGTTTATTTTTATAGACTAGCAAGGCTAAATAAGAGGTTTACTTTTGCTGCCTATATAAAGTCTACATAAAATAGTTCAGAATGGTGTATAAGGTGATTCTTATTAAAAATATATATTCATGTATTTATATTTGCACATATAAAATGGGTCAGACCAGTAGTAAGACCTAGTATTTGGACTTCATAGTGACATGAAGGAAACTGTTTATAATGGCAAGCAAGTCATGGTGGTTGTTTACCCTGCTTAACTTTAGTCTCAAGTTAAGGCTATGCCCTGAATATGCCTAGTACTTCTTATTTCATCACCAGTCTATTTCTGCTAGTTTGTTTCCTTTCAGGTCATAATTTATATTTTCCATTGGTAACTCCTATTGGGATAAAAGATTTTATAAATATATTACTTATTACAATAGATAATTTAAAAAATTGATTCAAAAATTCCTTTAAGCTTTAAGATGTATCCTTTTATTCTAATGCCCTAGGTATGATGAATTGTTTTGTATTCATTATGTCCATATTTTTCTGTCATATTTTTAGATTAATCATGTCTCAGCCTTAATAGCCAGGATCATTTATCTCAGTTTCAAACTGTGCAAATCTTCATCCCTTCTGCATTTTTTCTTGCCCTTCAGGGCAAATCTGTATCTAATATTTCAGCTGTGATATATTTTCATTTTTAATTACTGCTTGAAGATGCTACATCAGTAATAGCATCTAGCCTTTTTTTTTAATGAACTTCTTAGTTGTTCATAATTAGATGAAAATAACATTTTTATCCACATGTAGCTCCTTGTTTTGGGTTTTTTGTATATTGAAATATATATATGTGTGTGTGTGTATATATGTATATCTATGAAGTGTGTCTGAAAATAGTAAAGGATGTGATGTATCCTTTTGTTTGTTTTGGTCAATAGATGGTAAATGTGGGATCCTAGCTCTGTGTGTGTGTTTGTTTTTTTTTTAATTTATTTTTTATAAATGTATTTATTTTATTTATTTATTTTTGACTGCGTTGGGTCTTCGTTGCAGCGCGCGGTCTTTCTCTAGTTGCGGCGAGCAGGGGCTACTCTTCATTGCGGTGCGTGGGCTTCTCATTGTGGTGGCTTCTCTTGTTGCCAAGCATGGGCTCTAGGCTCACGGGCTTCAGTAGTTGTGGCACACAGGCTCAGTAGTTGTGGCTCGCGGGCTCTAGAGCGCAGGCTCAGGAGTTGTGGCGCACGGGCTTAGTTGCTCCACGGCATGTGGGATCTCCCCGGACCAGGGCTTGAACCCGTGTCCCCTGCATTGGCAGGTGGATTCTTAACCACTTTGCCACCAGGGGAGCCCTTGTTTGTGTGTGTTTTAAACCATGCATTATAGTAGATTTTCACTCTCCTTGCTGGAAAGAAGCTATGATAATATAATCTGTTTGTAGCTATTGAACTTTTGTGCTTTGTTTACAAGTCGTATGTATTTTCTGAATGGATTTTCATTGACAGGATGTAGGTGATACAGAGGTGGTCAATGCTAAGCCTCAGCAAAAAGCTGTAGCAGCTGCAGATACTCCAGTGCTAACTCAGGGCAGATGATTAAATGTTGATTGTAATAACCTAGATTCCAAGAACCTTTTAGAAGCATTGTCTGACCAAAGTGGTTAATCTTTGTTGGGAAGATCTCAAACTAGAGTTATAGGTGAGATTTTCATGTTTACCTAATTTTCTTGGGTTCTTTGGCCTTTTTATTTTTGATGGGGTAACCATAGATCATTTTGTGGGTGAAGACAGTTTGAATGTTGAGTTCTTAGCCACCAAAAAACTTTAGAATGTGTAAGAGTTCATTAAAACTGCAAATATTTTTGCTATAAACCAACATTTCATTCTATTTCCTTTTGTTTTACTGTTGAATTTTTTGTTTTCTAATTTTAAAAAAATTTAATTTTTTAAATGAAGTGTAGTTGATTTACAGTGTTAGTTTCCTTTTTAGTGACTTTTTTATTAAAAACTTTTTTTTTCAATTTATTTATTTATTTTTGGCTGTGTTGGGTCTTCCTTGCTGCGTGCGGGCTTTCTCTAGTTGCGGCGAGTGGGGACTGCTCTTTGTTGCAGTGCGCGGGCTTCTCATTGCAGTGGCTTCTCTTGTTGCAGAGCACGGGATCTAGGCGTGGGGGCTTCAGTAGTTGTGGCTCACGGGCTCTAGAGCACAGGTTCAGTAGTTGTGGCGCACGGGCTTAGTTGCTCCGCAGCATGTGGAATCTTCCCGGATCAGGGCTCGAACCCGTGTCGCCTGCATTGGCAGGTGGATTCTTAACGACTGTGCCACCAGGGAAGTCCCTTTTTAGTTACTTTTTGTGTGTGTGTGTGTGTGGTACGTGTGTCTCTCACTGCCGTGGCCTCTCCCGTTGCGGAGCACAGGCTCCGGATGCGCAGGCCCAGCGGCCATGGCTCACGGGCCCAGCCGCTCCGCAGCACGTGGGATCCTCCCGGACCGGGGCACGAACCCATGTCCCCTGTGTCAGCAGGCGGACTCTCAACCACTGCGCCACCAGGGAAGCCCTTTAGTTACTTTTTAATGCTTCTAACTTTGTTAATATTTGGAAAAATTGACTCATGTTTTAAATTTAGATATATTCAACTCTGGTTGAAGTAATACTAATACTTCTATTTCTTTTACCATTCACTTTGAAGCAGAAGAAGCCCGTTTACATGGAAGACCCGTTCAATGATGATCATCAAGAGAGGCAAGAAGTGGAAATGTTGGCTAAGAAGTTTGAAATGAAATATGTAAGTATAATAAACTTTTCACGTAGGTAATTTTATCCTGTTGGCCTATTTTTTTTTTCTGTGACAGTTTGGGAGGGCTGATAGCATCCATTGCTCACATTATCTTGTTCTAACAGATTGAACCCCAATAAATGGTTAGCTGGTCCTATAAAGATTCTGATAGGTTTGTGATGGCTGTAATAGTAGCTATCATTTATTGTACTCCTTCTAAAGTTCAGGCAGTTTGCTTATCATCAATATCTCCAATCCTTATAACAACACTCCAAGGTAAGTAATATGGACCACATTTTACAGATGAAGAAACAGGCTCTGAGCTTAAGGTTGAATAACTGATCCAAGGTCACACAATGGCAAGAATGAGGCTGCATGTCCAGGTCTGTCTAGCTCTAATCCTTTGCTCTTTCCACTGCCATTGAGAACACTTTTAATTCCTTTGGTGTAGTAGTTCTCAAGCCTTCCTGCCTCTTAAGAGTTTAAGAGAATGCATGTGTGTACTGCTAGGCCACTGGGTTCAGGATCAGTCAGAAGCAGCATGAAATTTCTTTATAAGTATCTTGTCTACCTTAAAATTCATGTGCATTTTATATTCTTTGCCACAGTAGATTGGTGTTTGTTTTAATATAAAAATAAATTTGAATTACCTGATTGTAAAGTTGCTTAATGTTATTCTCAATTTTTCTAGTATAATTGACTTTGTTGGAAGATCCCCCCATCCCCTCCCCATTTTTATCTTATGGCTTTAACTACCCTTTGTCTCTGCTAAAACATGACCCAGGAGAAGCAAGACCTTACCCTTTGTGGTTCCCCTGTGAGCATTGAAAAGTATCTCACAGAGATAGGATATCAGCTCACACTAGCTCTGTCATTCATGTTATCTTCAAAATGCAGCTACGGTCTTGGTGGACACTTGTTGGCTCTTTGCGGTAATGAAGAAACAGTTTGGGGGATGGAGAAAATACATGAGAATATTTTGAAATATGGGTCAGGTTCTAGGCCGTACTTTGCCAGCTACTAGTTGTGTCCATTGGTGAGGTTATTTAACCTCTTTGGGCCATAGTTTTCTTATCTGTAAATTGAGATGTTCAGATTTTTCACAGCCCCTTGTGGCTCTGTATTCTTTGGCTGTATAATATCTTTAGGGGTGGAGTAATGGGTGTTTCCATGGAAGAAATAGCCAAAGTTGTTACATTTATAGTGTTAATTATAATACAGTGTCCTCAGATTATAAATCCTGAAATAACTGTCTAAACTTTTTATACAGATTAATACATTGGTTAAATTTAATGTTTTAACCAGGTAGTACATTTACATGGTTCAAATTCAAAAATGAAAAAAAATATAGAGTGAAAAATCTTACTTTTATTCTACTGTCCACCCACCTAATTTCACTTCCTAGAGGCAAGTAATATTCTTGGGTGTCCTTCCAGAGATATTTTATGTGTATCTCTCTATATACATTATTCCTCCCCCTACCCCACACCTCTTTTTACACATGTTACAGAATGCATTACATGGTTCTGCTCTTTGCTTTTTTCATTTACTATATCTTGGAGATTTTTTTCATATCAGGACAAAGAGAGCTTTCTGTCTCTCATTTTTAAGGCTACATGGTATTCCACTGTATGGACATATCACCGTTTATTTAACTAGTCCGGACATAATTTCAGTTGTTTCCAAAAATTTACCCTTCTAATAGTACTGCAGTAAATTACTTAGTAGCATGCCATTTCATACATTTTCAAGTTTATCTTCAGACCAGATTCCTAGAAGGGGAATTTTTAGGTCAAAAGATTTATGCATTTATAGTTTTGGTATATACAGTATTATCAAATTACCAGTTTCTACTCCCTCCAACACTATATTAGAGTGGCTTTTTTCCCCATGGGTTATAACACCAAGGATTAGATTGCCCTTTGCAAGTGGAAAATTCCTAGCATATCCTGTAAGTAATGTACCTCACGGTTAGCATTAAATCTTATTGGGAAGCTTTTGGATAGTTCTTGGCATAGAAAAACCAGTGTTCTGAAGAAGTTGGTTGATGTGTAAAGTTGTTTCAAATAACTGGGATATATCCAAGCACTGTCATTGTGCAGGGATAAAATGTTATTCTTGTTATAATCCAAATTAATGGGCTGTATTTCTTCTCTAGATTTTTATTTTGGCTACTGACTCTCTTATTTCCATTCTAAGTAGAGATTTAAAATGTCCTACCTCATGAAGGCTTTATGTGCATAAACCTAAAAGCATGCCATGAATATTATATCCATGAATGTTAAATATGCATATTATAACAAATTATTTGGAACGTTTTAAGAAAATCATCAGGCTAAAAGTGACCTGGGAGAAGGTATCTTGCCAGCTCTAGGCTCTAGGCTTCACAAAAGATCACTCTTAAACAACAAAGATTTTTATTGGTGTTCAGGCATATCATATACAGACATCTATATGTATATTTATACATATATGTTGTATATTTATTTATACAAACACTATATATATTTTTTTTAAGTAAAAGAAAATCTTTTAGATATTTGCAAAATATTAACCCACCAAAGTTAGATTTCTCTTTTTGCAGATGACAAAAAGATGACTTAGTTCTTTGAGGTTTATAAAACACAGATAAAACTTGTATCCCTAGCTACCTTTTCTTCTTACTTTTTTTCCCTTCATAATATAACTTAGATGTCCTTGTCATTATTTCTTTTTTTTTTTTTTTTAACATTTTATTTATTTTTTGGCTGCGATGGGTCTTCGTTGCTGCGTGTGGGTGAGCAGGGGCTACTCTTCATTGTGGTGCACAGGCTTCTCATTGCGGTGGCTTCTCTTGTTGCCATGCATGGGCTCTAGGCTCACGGGCTTCAGTAGTTGTGGCACGCGGGCTCAGTAGTTGTGGCTCTTGGGCTCTAGAGCACAGGCTCCATAGTTGCGGCGCACGGGCTTAGTTGCTCCATGGCATGTGGAATCTTCCCGGACCAGGGCTCGAACCCGTGTCCCCTGCATTGGCAGGTGGACTCTTAACCACTGTGCCACCAGGGAAGCCCCCCTTGTCATTATTTCTGAAAATCGCTTAAGGTTACTTCTAGCCCTTTGTTTCTTGGAACGAGAGATGGAGTTATTTGTTAAATTTTGTATATAAATAATAAAATATTTGAGCATTTTTGTTGGACATACAAAGAGACATGGTATTTGCCGCCTCCTGGAGAAACTTTCAAAATCATTGGGAAGACAAAACATACATATGACACGACTACTGAAGCCCACATGCTTAGAGTCCACGCTCCACAAGAGAAGCCATGGTAACGAGAAGCCCCTGCACCGCAATGAAGACTAGCCCCCGATCACCACAACTGCCCAGTGAAGCCCGGGCAGATATATTAACCAGGCCTCTTGATTACCCCAAGGGCTAGACCAATGCAGTGAATTACTTCATTGCATAAAACAGAAATTAAAACATATCATTCTTGTAGAGAATTGCTTTTATTCTGTACCTGTCATAAATTCTTTTTATGTAAACATCTGTGTGGTTTTAACCTCTTTTAATTGATGACTCCACTGATTTTGATCTTTTAGTTCAGGCATTCTGTTCCAAGTGGCCTTTATTTTTCGTCCTCCAGTCACTTTTTACATATTCTTAACTATTGTGGTCTTCTTAAAGACTACAACAGATTATTTGGAGCCCTTTAAGAAAATCATCAGCCAGGACTTCCGTGGTGGCGCAGTGGTTAGGAATCCACCTGCCAATGCAGGGGACATGGGTTCGAGCCCTGATCTGGGAAGATCCCACATGCTGTGGAGCAACTAAGCCCGCGTGCCACAACTACTGTAGCCCACGTGCCTAGAGTCCGTGCTCCACAACAAGAGAAGCCACTGCAATGAGAAACCCGTGCACCACAATGAAGAGTAGCCCCTGCTCGCCACAACTAGAGAAAGCCTGTGCGCAGCAGTGAAGACCCAACGCAGCCAAAAAAAAGAAAATCATCAGCCAGAAGTCACCTGGGAGAAGATACCTTGTCCAATCCTAGGCTCTCACAAAAGATCACTGTTAAGCAACAAATGAAGATATTTACTGACCTATTGTTTACTGTCCTTTAGTTACTTTAGTGCCTGAAATTCAGGAGTAGCAAATTCAGATGTCCCCAGTTTCCCCTGATTAATCAGTGAAGCAAGCCAGATGGACAATAAAGGTGGGGGATTGTTTCAAACGGGACAGCGCGTGCTCTGTCTAAAGGGGACATTGCTACTCAGTTCCAGCCTGTGTTACTTTGTAGGAATTTGGGCTTAGAGTTGCCAGATCTTTCCATTTCTCAAAAGAAGGCTGAAATCTGGATTTTACTCTGTTATCTCTTTCTTTTTTTTTTTTTTAATAAATGTATTTGTTTATTTTTGGCTGCATTGGGTCTTTGTTGCTGCACGCGGGCTTTCTCTAGTTGCGGCGAGCGGGGGCTACTCTTCGTTGCGTGGGCTTCTCTTGTTGCGGAGCATGGGCTCTAGGCTCACGGGCTTCAGTAGTTGTGGCTCATGGACTCTAGAGCACAGGCTCAGTAGTTGTGGCACGCGGGCTTAGTTGCTCTGTGGCATGTGGGATCTTCCCAGACCAGGGCTCGAACCCGTGTCCCCTGCATTGGCAGGTGGATGCTTAACCACTGCACCACCAGGGAAATCTGATTATATCTTACTTTTAAATGTGGCCTTCTAACTAAAACACCTACTGGGCCAAACAAAATGTCCATCTGTGGGTCGGATTCGGCTCTCAAGCTTTTGTTTGAGACCTTTGTGTACTTGCTTCACTATTTTTTTCCTAATATATTTAACTCATCAGTCCATCTACTTTTACATTCTGTCCTTTCTCTTCTGTGAGCAGAGTGGTTGGTGGTACATGTGGGGGCGTGTACCATTTCCATTGTGGAGGAGCATGCGTTTGTAGGAAGTTTCAGAGAATGGAGCAAGTTAAACTCAATTGGGGGTTTCCAGATATGGAGAAAAATGGGATGCAACTTGAT